CTGTAGGACAAGACAATATACATATAGTATGATGTGAAGAACAATAGGTGACAAAAACTGTCATAAATGGGTGCTTTCCATTTAGTGACACAAGTCGACACAAGTATCATTTTGTTAATTATTGAAAGCCAAGAAAGATAGAACGATACTTGTGTCGACTTGTGTCACTAAATGGAAAGCACTCAATGATATTATATAGGGATGTAATAGTGAAATATTAAATAAATATTAATATATATCATTACAAGAAAATAATTTTTATTGATGTTTAAAATGAATCAATTTTGTAAACTTACGCCTAATATAATCTTTGTGTATTGAATCGGTAGCGCACTTAATCTCATGGAATAAATGCAAATTAACGTAAATTACAATTATGCTTTTAATAAGTTGCGTTTTATGGTTGTCATCTTGCTGCAAAATGTGTTCTGTCATTGCACTGTCATTAAACACTGAATAACAAACATCGTTAAACACTTTTATAGCCACAATTATCTTAATTATTTTTTCTAATGCAAATTATATTATAATTTGATCGAATAATTGCTTCAGAACATTGTGTTATTTTTATGACATTATCCAAAAAAAAATTAAATTACCTTTGTTTTTGACAGTAATCAAAATTGAGTCAGTCGATTTTGCAGTGACAAAAGTTGTACAAATGTGACACATATCCTAATAACTTTCTTACAATAAATCCACTGATATATTTAAATACATCATCGACATATGGACTGAGTACTGTTGTTAATGTTGACTGAGTTAATGTTGATAAATAATTATGGTCAAATATATCAGCAGATAATTGTTTCTTATCAATTTCAGTGAATAAGCTATTGCTTACGATTTTGATGCATGCGCAGAGATGACGATGTCACTCGTATATCTTTCTCTCTCACACATATTTTGAACACATTTTCAGCTTATAGGAAATATAGGCAATTCCTTCTCCATCTATGCTCAAAAGTTTCCGGTGTATGCGAGAAAATGGCTGCTGCCGCCATATATTTAAATAATAATTATTGTGTGTGATATTCAACAAACTTTTGTAATAATTATTGTTTCACTTAAATTGTGTAAATTACAAAAATAATATTTATTTTAATTGTTGAATAATCAGAAAGCCCATTTAACTATGATAAATAATATTTAAAAAATATACA